ATATCTGTCTCCTAGGATATTCTGGCTCGCACCTTTCCAATGTCAGGCTAGCAGTTGTCAGATCCAGAGAAATTGTGGCAAACCCTTTGGGAAGTCAGAGTCCCTGGCTTAGCTCCACATCCATGGGTGAACGTGCTGCCTTCCTTTGCTTAGAAAGCAGTTCTCCACTAGGCTCTTCAGCTATAATGTCCCGGAGCTGAGCTCTGAAGAGCCTGTGGATGGAGATAGGAAAGCCATTGGTTTTTGCTCTATGTGAGGGTGCGTCTACACAGCGGGGCTATTTCGGGATACCAAAGTGTCCTGAAGTGGCTACTCCACATCTTTTGAACGTGCCTGCTATTTCGAGAGAGTGCGTCCACTATTTCGAGACCTATTTTGGCATCCTGTAACTGTGTAGACGTGCCAAATCTTGAAATATGCTCTTTCCACATTCAGCCGAAATAAGATATGCCATTTGTGTAGTGCAAGTTACCTATCTTATTTTGAGTTTAGATGCTTTGTAGATGCACCCTGAATGTCTTTTTCATTTGGACCCTTTAATTCTCTTAAATAAAAAACCCTTCTCCCTTTTCTGGTGCAATGAAGCTTCCCAACCTGAAGCTTTGAGTATCCAGAGCTTAACAGCCACCAAACCAAAGATAAGCTTGTGAATTCTGAACTTCATTGCTATGTATATCCCCTCTGCACACACCCACCTTTCCACTCACTCTCGGTTCTTTGGCATGTGCTAATCAGTGACTTCTTCTGTTATTCCTTTTGGCCCATTTACTTTGTGTGCCACTTGAGCAAAGGAAAGCAAAGCGATCCAGGGATGAGGCGTGGGAAAACTGCCAAGTCAAGAAGCCATGAAGAGCTAGTTAGTGAAGGAACCTTTGTAAGAGAGGGCTCCCCAATGCAGAAATGTGGAGGAGAGGGAGTATGGAGACAACACGTGGCCCTCGCAAAGGGCGTAGCATAAAAGAAGGTGCAAAACTACCTTTGTCGGATGGAGGCACATCTGATGGTCTGAGATCTGTACAGGGTGCACCTGGGGGAGGAAAGGACAGCATGGCACCCTTCACTGAGCATTTCCTTGCTCTGCTGGAGCCACCTGTCAGTATTTTGGTTTCATGAAAAATATTTCCCTTTGCCAGTAGCAGATGTTGTAGAGATTTAATAGAGGGTCGATTTCCTCCTTCTGTGCTTTCTCCAGACTGAAGCCCTCTTTGAAGTCTGAGCTCATGAGTGACAGTTGCAGGAAAGGGAAGGGAGAGACGGCCTGGAGGGGGCACGGTTAGCCACTCCATGCGCAGGAGCCCAGACGTGGGGGGAGAGCTGCGTGTGCCTGGTCCTGCTGTACAGCGCTTTCAACAGCCCTGACTTCCTAGGTTCAGACTGTCCAGCCGATTCCTTCGCAGCCTCCTGGGTAACAAGTGCCTTGCGCTTTTGTTAATCACTGTGCTGCTTCAAGTGACCAGGAGGAAGGTCTGATCTTCACAAAGTCCCTGCCCTCGGGAGCTGACAGTCCAGCCACACCAGCTGTTTCCTAGGAGTTGGTCGGCAATGAAGGGTTTAGAGAGAGTTAATTTCACACGTTGCCCCTCCTCAGCAACTTGCCGTGGCAGTCCGAGGTTTTCTCATTGGAATGTTCCTCTGGTAGCTACATTTGCAAGGTCTTGGGATGCGTATGGCAGTGGAGACTGTTGCTGGTCTCATGTCGGTGGTATGCTTGGTTGCGTCTCCCTTGAACTCCAGCAAAGCCACATTCAGATACAGGTTCTCTTTAAACCCATCTCTGCTGTAAAAAGTACATCTGACTAGATCATCCCTTCTAGCATCCTGTATCCAGCAGTGACTAGCACCAGCTGCTTTTAAAGATGGGTGCAAGAAATTCCTTAGGTGACAGTTATAGAATAACTTGATCACCGAGGCAGCTTCTTCCTAATCTTTGTTACTTGGTGGCTCATGCCCTAAGGAATGAGGGTTTATTTCCCTTTTAAGTGTTCTCTTTTCTCAGGTGTTCCCATTGTTCTTCTAAACACCCAATCCTTTATTTTAAATCTCCCCAAGATCCTCACCTTTGATACCTCGAGTTCTACAAGTTCATTATGGATGCTCTGTTTGGTAAAGCATCATTTTATCAGTTTTATACGGCTTCTCTTTCAGCTTCATTGAATGCCCTTTTGTACTTGTCTTTTGTCCAAATACAGAAGTAAGGCTGCTCCTGTCCTTTTCTGACCCTCTGCATTGTGCAGACAAGACATAGCAGCGCTCTGTGCCTTGGGGACCCCTAGAACAATGGCTCTATCACAGTAATTCCTAGCATTTCAATAGCAGTCTTCCTTACAAAGTGCTTTACAAAGGAGACATTTTCCCCATGAGGAGACAGAGGCCCAGGGAGCTTTGGTGACTTACCTAGGCAGAGTCAGTGGCAGACTTGGGAGCAAACTCTTTTGGATATCCTGTGATGTCTGGCATGCATCAACCACATGAAAAACCCACCTTGTCTCCCAGTGTGCAGAGCTCCTTGCCCCGTGCGTGCCCTCTGATGTACAGTGACTTAGCTCAGCGGTTAAGTGCTCTGCTTCCATCCCGAGTCCTTTGGACTGCAGGGAGAGAATTCTAACACTTGCATGGAGGCAGAGATGTGCTAAAATGTGAGGGGCATCTAAAGCACCCCTACATCTGTCCAGCTACTGGGACAGCCACAGAGCTCCTTCCTTAGAGAGGCAGTAACCCTATCCACCAGCCCAGGTTCATTCATAACACGATACTTCTGCTGTCAAATGCCTTGCATTCTCCATTGAAAACGATCCCAGTGTATCTTCTTTCACCAAAATACTTTGAGGTTTTTCTTGCTCTGAAGACGCAGCTGGCATAATGTGCAAGCTAGATAAGTGGTAGCAGCAGCAGCAGCTGCATAGTTGGCAATGGCTGCGGAAGGGGAATTAGATGTGGTGCTTGGGCATTTTCAGTCCCTGAGATGAGCAAGTGCTGGGAAAGATGCAATATTTAAAAATTAAGTAGCTTTAGGCTAGATCTGATGTGGAAGGAAGAATTTGCATTTTATTCCTCTAGATCTAAATTGCCGCTTCCTTTATTGAACTGGTTTGGATAGTGTTTAAAAAACATCTGCACTGTGCATTTGCATCTTACGTTTAAACCATGTTTGCTCTTTTTTTAGAGGTTTTTGTGTAGTAATTAGGAAAGACAATGTTCATGAAAATGTATGATTTATTCTAATTGCCGACATGGCTCCATCTTTATGGGGGAGACTCTAGCTCCTATTTTATAGCCTTCTTTAATGGAAACCTTCATTTGAGAATAAGACGCCTTTCTCTAGCTTCAGGTTGAACTTGTTATCATAGTCCATATGGTGCAAGCGTGGGTCAGGCATGGGGGCAGGGCTTGTTGTTGTACGGAAGTTTGGGAACTGTGTTTTTCTGCGTTAAGCCTGCGTTTGGTAATCCTGCCTTGGCAGCCTGCTAGATGCCAATTGTGGTTTGCCCTTCACCCCTGCAATACGGGCTGGGCTGGGTTGGGTTGCGTTGCCAGAGTAAACACGTAGGTGAGAAGTAGATGTGCGCCACCTACAGGCCGTAACAAACATCACCGCGTTGGTTCTGGCGGTTGCTTGTTGAATGAAAGAGGGAGTTTGTATTTCATTCAAAAACTAGACTTTTTTAGGGGGCAAAGTTTGCTGAATTAAAGGAATACAGGCAGTGGCAGTGTAATCATGTGGGTCTGCCGATATTAGAGACACAAAGTGGTGAGGTAAAGTCTTTATTGGGCCAACTTCTGTTAGTGAGAGAGAAGAGCCTTTGAGCTTACACAGAGCCCTTCTTCAGGTCGGAAGGTGTGCAGTCAGTCACGTTCGGCCCCAAGTACAAATGCTTTCAAAGCAAGCTTTTGCAATACTGAAAGGCAGCAAAAAGGTTACCATGGGCATGCAGAGCTTCTGTTTGCTGTCCTAATGCAAGGTCTGCACCGGCATTGTGTGGCACTTTACTATAAGGAAAAGCAAATCCATGCTCTTGCGTGGCAGAAGCCATTCTGTTCTTTGGGAGTTGGCATCTTTCTGCCCTCGTGGCTGGCAGAGCCCCCTGTGGTCGCTGACTGCTGCCCAGATGAGGATGGAGGGCCATTGTCACGCCGTGCTGCATGGGGTCCTGTAGCAGCAGGGTGCTGGAGCAAGAGCACTTAATTAGCCTCTGCGCTGTCAGCTCCAATCACGGGGAACAGATTGGGGCTGATATAAAAGCCTAATGCCAGCCTGGGGATTGGCAGCAGCTCCCAGCCT